ACAGACAGCTGAGCTCCTCCCAGCAGGGCAAGGACCTCCCTCGGGACAGGGCCAGGCATGCAGAGGGGCTCAGACACTGGGGGTTTGSACAGGAGTGAATCACTAACCACAGGGCCTGCCACCCACAGGTGCCAAGGGACCAGCAGCTCCCCTGAGGGTAAAGTGAGTGAGGCTGACAGGCCCAACTCCTGGCCTGCAGAAGGTTAGCTCTAGTAAGAACTCAGTTGTGTTAGTAGCTGCTGGTCAATGAAATGAAGCCACCAGCACATGGTGGCTACAAGGCATGAATCCATACATGCATGGCAGGTGGCAGTACTGCTGAGAATCAGAGCCCAGGCCACTGAAGTCCTGGAGCAAAGGCCCCTGGGGAGCAGCAGTCTGGGTGGCCAGGTGTAGACTAGGGTCAGGAGCAGGGTCCTGTACCTTGAGTGGTGTCAGACAAGTTGGCAGTCCCACAAAGAGGAGCGCCCCCTGCAAGGTGAAATGGGCAACCTGGCAAATGACCTGAAAGTGGACATCCCCGGGGGGCTAGGGTCACCTGGGCTGTGCTGGACACACTGTAGGACATAGTTTCTCCCCTGGGGTCCATGCTGGTCTGGGTGTGCGAGAGCTCATTCCCATTTTTGAACCAGTTCAGGGTGATATTGTCGGGGGAGAAGCTGTGGGGCTCGCAGGTGAAGCTCACCATCTGCCCAGGTGTGGCTCTGGACACAGGACCTGACACCACAGGAGGAGAAGGTCTGGCTACAATGGAGCAGTGACAGACAAATCAGGTGATTGAGAGACACCCTCTGACCACAAGTGAGTGACACTGTAAAGAATCTTTCTCCACGTAATCATTGTTATCATTATTATTATTTTTACTATTTGTTGTTGTGCTGGGAATCGGCCCCAGGTGATGTTAAGCTAAGCACATGCTCTGTCACTGGGCTACACCAGAAACAACAAGACATGATTTTTTTAATGTTCCAAATAAAGATTGCTGGGCACTGAGCTCATCCCTACGCTCATGTCCCTGGGCGAGCACAGCTGTCTAGCAAGACAGTGAGGACCGACAGCCCAGGTGCTGCTCCAGGCCTGAGGTCAGAGCCTTCCTCTCAGCACCAGGGCACTGCTGCCAACATGGGCCCAGGGAGGACCTCACAGCCCTGTCTCACTCTTTGTTAACAACCGTGTCCTGCTGGTCTGTCCTGGAATGCTTGACACCAGTGATGGTCATTTTTAGAAACAAATGCAGGGGACAAATGTCACCATGAAACCACCATCAACATGGGAACCAGCTCTCTATGCTGAGACCTGGCCCAGCACCTCAACTGTGGAGTGGGGTCGTTGGCAAATCTCCTCCCAGGCCACACTGAGCACAGYTGGCTTTGGTCACACAGAGCTGCCYCTGGAATCTCAGCAAATAGTAGGGCGTGTTGTCCAGAGACTGGGGAGGCTGAGGCAGGAGGACGGCAATGTCCAGACCAGACTGGGAAACATAGTTAGAACCTGCCTCAAAATATATAATAAAAAGGGCTGAGGATGTGGCTCTATTAAGGTGCTCCTGGTTTCAATCCTGAGTTCCAAAACTAAAAACAAAATATAAAAAACAAAACAAAGCCAGGTCCCTCCTTCTTTCAGACTTTATTCTGTGCAGGGCTCTTCCACAGGTGGTTATGAATTCACCCTCATGGTGTGATAGTAGGACCAAATGTGACTCCATTTTGTTTTATGACTTCATCCTGTAAAACAACCATGCCAAGTAGAGGAGTCATGACTGGGGCAAGATGTTCTTTTCCTTTTGCTATATAAAATTTTAAGAACACAAAACTACCTAATGGGGCATTGTTTCTGTAACTAGGGTAAAGGGGCTCTGTTTCTGTAACTGGGGTGACTGGGCTAACTGAGATTGGTTAGGCTTCCCTCCGCTTGACTGCACTGTCCCGCTTCTGTAACCTGGCTTGCTTGCATTGGCTAGACCCCYGAACATCCCTTTTACAGTTTTCAGGCTTATAAGGAGTGCCCTTGCAATTGTTCTGGGCTGATCAGGGAAACAGCTTTATGTTCTGGTCAGCCGCCACCGGTGTGCTTCAATAAAGGCTTGATTCGATTATATGTGAGTGGTCTGGAAGTCAGTTTATGAAACCCTGGGACGAAGCTTTAACTATAACAATGGCCCACTTTCTACAATATGCCATGGGCCTCATGTAGCCAGGTCTGGATTTGAGAGGGAGAGAATGAAGGAGTTCTTTTCTGAATCTGGGCTTCCCTGGTCACTTTTGCATTGGAGTCACAGGTCACTGAGTGCAGAGGAAGCCACAGGGCTACCTTCATAACTGATGACTAGTTTCAAGACATGCARATTCAGGCCCCTGAGTAGGACCTGAGGGCACTCAGGTGAAATYATCAGGAGGCTGCTTGCCTGTGGACAGGTTTCAGATGGGTCCCTTGGTGCCTCCAGATTGCTCATCACTACCCAGCACCTTCTACAGCTGTCACCAGGCAGCAAAAGTCATGAAGGTTTGTATCAGCAAATATTGAGCTCTCTGCCCGACTGGCACCCAACATTGGAGTGCACAATATGGAGGGTGTCACTGAAGAAATGGAGTCACGTAGACACCAGTATCCTGGAAGTCCCTACGGGAGTTAGAGACCCTAGTCAGTGGCCACTTMTCAGGAGCTGATCAGCATCCTGATGCTGGCCAGAGCCCTCAGAGCCCCTCAGTTCTTGTATCCTCATCTGTTCCTTGAGGGGGTCCTAGGGAGATCCCATTATGGATCAAGGCTCAGAGAGGGACATGGCCGGCCAAGGGCWTCAGGAGGGGAATAGGGAAGAAATGAGGCTCCTGTCATCCACACAGGAGGACAAGGTAACTCCCGTTATTTTTCTGCTGAGCTTCTATGTTCCCTTCTATAGAGAGCTCTTTCTTTTTAAATGTTTTGTTTAGTTGTAGTTGGACACAGTACCTTTATTTCACTTATTTATTTTTATGTGGTGCTGAGGCTCGAACTCAGGGTCTTGCATGTGCGAAGTGAGCTCTCTATTGCTGAGCTACAACCCAGCCCATATAGAGAGTTCTTTTTTTAAAAATAATTTTTAGTTGTTGATGAACATTTATTTATTTGTATGTGGTGCTGAGAATTGAACCCAGTGCYTCAAGCATGCTAGGCAAGCGTGCTACCACTGACGTTGCGTGCCACAACCCCAGCCCTAGAGAGTTCTTAAAAGCACCTCCCTGCAAGACAAGGGTGAAGGCAAGGAATGGCAAAGGAATGAAGGCAAGGGACGGCACAGGAATGGAGTATGTGCCTAATAAATGACATCTGTGGCTGCTGTTGTCACACCTTCCAAAACACAGCCATTGTTTAGCAACAAATGCAGTGGGGACCCCAGGAACAGCCTCCATCTTGTTCCTGCAGCTGCCAGGAGAACCCCAGTGAGAGGAGGAGCAGACACTGGCAGAGGATGGTGCTCTGCCTGTATTCTTGTATCCTGTGTGCCCCCTCCCCCTCCCCCAGGTACTGAGAGTCTACCCAGGGCCTCAGGGTGCTCAGCAGGAACCACCACTGAGCTGCACCCTCGCCCTCTCCCTGTGTTCTTAAGAGTCCCCACAGGAAACAAGGTGACAAAGTGCTTCTCACATCATGAACAGCATCAAGGGGTTTCATCCAGAGAAGCTGTTTCCATAAAGTGGGGCTCTGTGAAGGGACAAGGGACAGATGCCTGAGTGACATTTAGGTCATCAAGGCAGGAGGRCTGTGTGCTGAAGAGCCAGGACTCAGTGGCTCCAGCTCCTGTTCAGAGGCAGACTCATATCAGATGTGGGCCCCAGGCTGAYGTTGGATCTGCGTGGGCTCTGTCGGGAGACCCTGCCCCAGGCCCCAGGGAGCTGAGCCCAGCACGGGCTGTTCTGGACACCCACACCTGAGAGGGCTCCCGTGCTCTCCTTCATTGCCAAAGGAAAACCCAAAGTTTCCTTCCTTGTCATCAGGACATGGATCTCAGGGGAGAAGAGCCTTGGCTGTGTGTTAGAACCTTCTGGAATAAGTAAAATCTTCAGATACTCAGACTCATGTTGGAATTTAAAACAAAATGTCCAGGTGAATCTTGGTCTGGAATTTCCATCCTCAGTTTCCTATGTGATTCCTGTGCATAGCCAATGGGGAGCCCCCGACCCGACCCACCACAACAGCAAGGACAACTGTAACATCTCTGCAGGAAAAAGAATTTGGCCCTTATTCAAACAACAGAGCAGCTCTGTGTGTCCTGTTGGGGCATCTCCCTGAGAAAGGAGATCATAGCCAACATTCAGGAGAGGTTCCCCACTCACTGTGGCTTCAGGGTGTGAATGTGAGTGGCTTCCTGAATCTTGGGAGAGGGAGGAGGAGCATGGATGCAGCTCCCTGCCCAGTGGGTCAGGTCAGGGTCTGAGTTGAGCCCCTCCTGTGCCCTGGCTCCTCTGTGGGGACAGTGTCTATTCCCAGGGCAGCAGGAGCCTGGGCTGGAGTCAGGTTGGGCTCTGTCCCCTCCTGGCATTAATGTGCTGTGAGAGAGAGGCCTGCTGGGCCTCCAGCTCCCCAGGTCAACAGGGGTGGGCACAGGNTCACTCACCTGTGAGTCCCAGCAGGAGGGTCAGCAGCAGGACAGGACAGGGACGCTGGGGCTGGGAGGCAGGTGCAGACATGGTGGAGCCCTGAGGAGCCTGCTCTGTCCCAGGGTCTGTGCTGGGGAGATCCCTGACTCTGCTCTATGGAGGGAACTGACACTCTGTGTCCCTTATTTCAAGAGGAAGTGACTGTGACAGAGTGACAAACAATTTCCTTCAAAATTGTGAAATAAAAACTAGGAGCACAGACAGCAAGGAGTAAGGGTCTCTCAAGATGCATTTTCAGAAGGAATTGGAACACCTCGCAGGAACAAGGCCTCCTTCCCTGGGCCTGTGCCTGGGCTTCTTGTGATTTCCTGGGTCTTAGTGACAGTGTATTTGGGAGTCACAGGACAGGCAGGATGTGCTCTGGAATCCTGACCCTGAGACCCTGGTGTGGCTGGCTGGTGGCCTCACTCTGCAGCAGCTACACACAGAGCTACTCAGCTGGAGGAAGGAGGGGTCCTGGGGCCTGCTCAGTGTTGGGGAGGAACTGGTCACCTCCTGCCATGGCCAATCACTGCAAAGCTTTTTTCTGTAAAGGATCATAGTTCCCCATAACAGTTGGGTGCATCCTGACAAAACCATACGTGCATGGAATTAGGGATCAATTCTGGATCTCCCTTTTCCTCTCCCCTGCTCACCCCACACCCTCCTCCTTCCTAATTTHTACTAGACTTCCTTTTGCTCATGTCTTCATTCATTTTTATTGTTTCTTTCAGTTTATATATAAATGTGGTGTATTTATATTACACATAACACAATTTAAAAAGAATTCCTTCTGCATTTCCTCCCTTTTCCATCCCTCCTCTTTGACTCTTGACCTCCTTCTGTTCTACTGACCTTTCCCACATCTGTGTGGTATCCTGTCCTTCTCTCCTTCTTTCCTTATTACACTCTAGTGTGCAGAGCTGAGAGAAAACATTAGACCTTTGACTTTCTGAGTGTGACTTCTTTACTTAGCATGATGTTCTCATGTCCATCAACTTACTGTCAAATGCCATGATGTCATTCTTCTTTGTGGCTGAGGAGAACAGGAAGTGACCGTGATGGAGTGAGAAGCGATTTCCTTCAAATTGTGAAGTAGAAACCAGGGAGCACAGTTCCAAAAAAAAA